AATCGTTATTAAAATTGTTATATTTACGTTTTGATAACTAAATGTATTGAATAAAAATCAAAAAAATAATTGATACGATTAATAATTATTATAAATAATTAGTTAATAATAATAAATAATAATTAATATTAATGAGGGTTGTAATTAGAAAAACTGACAATAAACTATCAAGACACTACTGTAAGTAGCGTTTCAATAAGCCAACTTATTTGCATGCAAATATGTACCCAAAATATAAGCTAATTTATAAGTTAGCTTATGTGCATGTAAAAATGTACCCAAGAAAATAAGCTAGCATATTTTTACTAAACATTACCTAATCATATCATAAAAAGATTGGATTTACAAAGTGTAAAAATGAATCTCCATCGTTGGATGTACATTCGTCAATTTCTATCTTATTAATACTAGAAGGGTACTCGCGCAATTTAGCGAGATACATATCGATTTTAATGTTATATTTTATTTTTTGTCTCTGTCGATGTTATAATACGATTTTATGTATTTTTAAGAAAACAATAATGATTTTATTTTTGAATAAAATATAAATTTAAAGATATCATAAATTTTTTTAAAAATATATATCAAAGTTAATATCAAAATCAACTATTTATAAGTTCTCATTTTTTATGTAATTTTTTTATTTTAATTTAATTTAAGTTTAATAATGAAATAATTTATTTTTGGTTTAATACAACATTTTATAACGATAATAATTAAGTATTCTGTTAAAACTCAATGATTATCTAATTATATTTTAGATTTTTTATATTTAAAATGAGTTGTTTATCTTGTATTTGATTATGTTTATCTGTAATTAGTTACACGAATTTAGATATGGAGCTTTAATAAGTTATACTTACACAATCTACTTGTAATCTTGAATGTTAAGTAACATGCATTAATAAACAATACTTTATACATAAAAAATGATTTTTAATAATTTTTATAAATGATTTGTAGACACTTCAAATTGAGTTACTACTAGAGTTGAATGTGCAATGTTGAGAGGGTAAAATCGTCAAACCGGTGCCAAAATTTGGATGACGTAAGAAGAAATCATTCGCAATAAACCCCGAAACACGGCATCACACGCTGTTCCATTAGTAATGAAACGGCGACCAATCCAAATTTGCTTATTTATTAATTCCTGAAGAAAGAAATTCAGAAAAATTCCACCATTTGCAGTCTGATTTTGGATTCATGTCTCCCCCAATTACCCTCCGATTATGTTGAAGGAGCTATTATATTCAATCCACCAGTTTCTCCTTTCAATCCTTCCGCAATGTAACTGTTTTGAAGTTCAATAATCAATCGTATCTCCAGGTAAGCAAGTCATCAACAGAAGTTCGGTTAATTTGTGTACGGAATCTATGTGCTTTTTTGTATTTGGTTTTGGAGTTCGTTTGATGTAATTTGCTTGTTTTATGTGTAATTTTTTAGTCTCATTTGTGTGTTTTTGACTGTTCGTCGTCCTTGATCTGGAAGGTATGGTTGGAATTGTTGTATAATGATGTTGATTGCCATTTATGGATGTTCGAAAAAACTCTACTGTATGAAATAATCGGCCATGAAGTTTTATTTCGTTTTCGTCTAGTTGTGAATGTTTGTTTTTGACTGTTCGTCGTCCTTGATCTGGAAGATATGGTTAAAATTGTTGAATAATGATGTTGATTGTCATTTATGGATAATGGATGTTTAATGAATCTCTACTGTAGAAATAAATCGGCCATGACGTTTTATTTGATTTTCGTCTAGTTGTGAATGTCTGTTTTTGACTGTTCGTCCTTGATCTGGAAGTTCTGGTTAGAATTGTTGAATAATGATGTTGATTGCCTTTTATGGATATTTGAAAATTATAAAAAATAATCAGCCATGACGTTTTATTTGGTTTTCGTTTAGTTGTGAATGTTATTTTATTAAAAAAAAGTAAAAGTCGCTTTAATTTCTTCAACGGATGCTATTTTTGGCACCAAATTGTTGCAGGTTTTGGTTTTCTTTTCGTATTCCGATTTTCTTCTGGATAATTCTGCATTGCAATTACTGTGATATAGCTCTACAATTTTTCTGTAGATAAAACAGAGATTAACTGCTTACACGTGATTTCTAGCTCCTAAAATCATCATCCTGTTTATAAACTTGGAGCAATCGTCAGAACCTTCTGTTTCGTTTTTTCTCCCTTCAACTTCCACCTATTTTTCGGTTGAAGTTCAGTTTTCCTGTTCTACAGGAGATCTGTATCGATGTTTTATTTTGAATTTTTATTTATTTATTTCTGTTTTTCACCTCTTATTCTTATTGTATCACTACCATTTTAGGCAATTTCTACCGAAAAAATATGAACTAGCTTAGACTAGAAAGTACAAAATTGTACTTGCCTTTCTATTATTGGAAAAAACAGAAGATGCTATGGACAGTTTGTAACCGCGTTTCTAGAATTCCAGATAAAAGTTATATTGGTCTGTTGGATTCTAAGCTAGTTGAAATCTGGATTAGCTGTAAAGCTGTAACGAAGATTTTAGCTTTTGCTTTTTGTAGTTAGGGTTGCAAACTTGCAAGTTAATCACATTTGAATTTTATCGTTAACTATTGACTTGGGCTTTTTGTAATCGGTTTGTTGATGAATTGGTTGTTTGCTTTTGTAGGAAATATCTAACCGTCTATAAAGAGATGAAAGCCAAGTCATCAGGTCTGATCGTTGGGATCTCAATAGGAGTGGTGATTGGAGCACTTTTGGCCATAGTTGGACTACTTTGTTTTAGGTTTCACCGGAAACGATCTCAGATAGGTAATAGCAGTTCCAGGAGAGCAGCAACAGTCCCCATTCGTGCAAATGGTGCCGATTCTTGTACGATCTTATCAGATTCATCAATGGGTACAGAGTCATCAAAAACATCAATACAGAATGGCAAGTCATTCTGGTTTGGTGGACCGAGGAAGTCTCATGTGGTTGCAGCTTCTGGAATTCTCGAGTATTCTTACAAGTATGTCAAATGTAGTATTAATGCCACATTCCCACCTATAATGATATTGTGTGTTCCTTGAAAAGCAAATGAAATACTGGAACTACATTCTTTTAACCGGTGCTGAATCTGTAATGAAAATTGAAACACATGTAGATATATTAGTTCAGGGTTGGTTCATAGGGAAAACCACAAAATAAATGGAAAACTGAGGAACATTCTAGTAGCCATTCATTTGTTCGGTAATGCACGTGTGCATAAAATGCATACCTGAATAGAAACCATGAAACATTTTTAATTACTTTTATGCACATGCATCTAGCGGATAAATGAATGGTAATTAGGGTGTTCCTAAGTTTATTGTGGTTTTTCACTTAACCTGAGTCTATTAGTTGATATTCGATAAGATGATGTAGCTATCGATTTGTTGTTGGTTGCTCAAAGCCTCGAACATTTCATCAATGGATTTATATGTTACTTCATTCTTTTGGTTTACTGTATCAAATTATCTTTATTTTTATCTATTCAAATTATAATTTAATCAACATTTGCCATCAACGAAAGTTGTACGAATTATAGACACTTGTCCCCTTCTATTAATGCTTCTTAGTTGGTTTCTCTTACTCTTCATGTTTTTTCTCAACTTCTGTTTCTCTTACCCTTCCTCTTTTTTTCTTCTTTTGGATCAAGCAGAGATCTACAGAAAGCAACGCATAATTTTACCTCCACAATAGGCCAAGGGGCATTTGGTCCTGTTTATAAAGCTCAGATGACCACTGGTGAGACTGTTGCTGTTAAAGTTCTTGCAACTGATTCGAAACAAGGCGAGAAAGAATTTCATACAGAGGTACTGATTATCCATACATCCATACACCTTATCATTATGATGAGTTGAGTTGGATTTCCTGTTAGTCTGTTAGCATCTGGTTTACAGATGTATTTGAGCCATAATCTTTTTCTTATTTTGTACCACGCTTCATAACGTGTGAAGTGACATATGGAACAATTACAGCATACACAAACAAAAACTAGATAGCATAAACCAAACAAGGACCCAGGAAATCCCACTTGAAAGAATGCACGCAGATCTGATCTCTGCCCAAAGAGTAGAATGGCTATTTCTGTGAAGACCCTGGCTTGTCCAAGAGTAGCAGGAATAAAGAATAGCATATGGTGAACGAAGCCCCAGAAAAATAAGTGAGAAAGGTAACTGATAGGTAATACCCACACTGATGAAGTAAGGCAAAAACGCATCCTTAACATAATCTAGCAGCCCTCTACCCCCNCCTCTTCCCAACCTGTCCAACTCCCTTACACGACTACACTAGCTATAGGTCCCATACCTAGTCTGCAAGTAAAGTTCTTTCTCCAAAGGCAACTCGTTATCACTCTCGTGCTGAATCTAGGTTCATCACAAAATTCTGTTTGATTAGTAGGCTCTTTTTGTTTCTTTATAGTTAACTCCTCATGGGTGTAGTGGTAATTTAAACCATCACAAGTCGTGAGCTTCTTGGCTCACGGTGATAGGCCTGCAAATTTCTATTCTACATATAGCCTTCTTTAAAGACACTCCATATGTCTTGAGATTCAAGACACAACTTCATTAGATTTCCCCAATAGTCAAACTTCTCTTCGTTGAAACAAGGCATAATTAAAAGTGGATTGTTGTTGGCCATTTTCAACCATTTTAACGAAATGGCTCTAATACCAATTTGTAGAATCAAATATTTGACATATACTATGAAAATATTCGGATGAATGTTTCTAAAAGAATATTAATAAGTCAAAATATAGATTTTTACACAGGTCGTAAAAAAGAAGTTTCCATCTCAACTTCTGGTTGCTTTCCTGAAGTTTTCCAAATGATACCATCTTATTTCGACTCCAATATCCCTATTTTTGCATTAAGAAATTTCCCTCTCCCTGTTTCTTTCTCAGGTTATGTTATTGGGAAGGTTACATCACAGGAACCTTGTGAATTTGGTGGGATATTGTGCAGAGAAGGGACAACACATGCTCATATATGTCTACATGAGCAAAGGCAGTCTTTCTTCTCATTTGTACAGTAAGTGGTTTTCTATGATCTATCTTTGTTTTATTATGAAAAACAAGCCAACGGGTCAATCTGGCCCAACAGTCTCCGGGTTACCGGTAGATCCCAAGGGTTCATCATCTTTTGCTACTAATTTTCACCCTAGGTTGAACTTGTTTATGAGCTTACTCCTGTTGATATGGTCTTCAAGCTACCGTGACCAATTGGGTAGATCAAGAAAACAGTAGTCGCAGCTGCAACTGGTTCAATCCCCGTTGTTCGCCCATTTTTTTAATTAATAAATTACCCATTTCTCATCAATGTACATCGTAACCTCCCTTCTCTCTCTCTCTCTCCTTAAAGCTCTTTTAGGGAGTAATCTAAGGGTTTGTTTGTTAGTAGCTTATTGAGTTTAATGAGACTCGACTTATTCGGTGAGCTATAAATGACTATTTGGTAGCAACTTAATGATATAGAATAGTGGCTTATCAGTGAACTTCTAGGGGAGCACTTTACGAAGAAAGCCAATTTTTTTCCAGATCTGCCCTTCCCAATTAAAATACATTCTAGTTCCATCTATGAAGAAACCCCCAAACAAAAACCTTCCCAATCTATACAAAGAGATTAATCCACATAGTTGTATCCATACATGACTAAATGAAAAGCCAACCAAACAACCCCTAAATAAGGTTCAACATATTCTCACAACTCAAATGATCTGATTTGTTGTTTTTTATCAAATGTTATTCTAGCGTTCTTATACAAAGTTGTCATGTCTATAAAGATTCAGGCGAAAATAGTGAAGTGTTAAGCTGGAATTTGAGGGTTCAAATAGCTTTGGATGTGGCAAGGGGACTAGAATATCTCCATGATGGAGTAAGCCCTCTGCTCTATCTTTTATCAAGTGGTTTTCGTAATCCCGTCCATTTTTAGCATCATTGATCTGCAATGCACAGGCCTTTAATCGGTTCATGTTATTGATGTCTTCAGGCAGTTCCTCCGGTCATACACCGAGACATTAAATCTTCCAACATTCTGTTGGATGAGTCCATGGGAGCAAGAGTAGCTGATTTTGGGCTTTCAAGGGAGGATATGATCAATAGACATGCCTCTAATATACAAGGAACTTTCGGATATCTTGATCCTGAATATATATCGACAAGAGCCTTCACCAAGAAAAGCGATGTTTACAGCTTTGGAGTATTCCTATTTGAGCTTATTGCTGCAAGAAATCCTCAACAAGGTCTCTTAGAGTATGTTGAACTTGTAAGATCTCTCTCTCTCTCTCTCTCTACGTGATTTATGTGTGAAAATATATGGAACCCTATTAGATTACTCTCCCAATGAAAAAACAGATGATCCATCTTATATGGAAGAAAAATAGTCCAAGTCTAGCTGATAGTGGACCCTAACAGGTAGACAGGCACAGATTGTCCTAGAGTGTCTAGTTTCTAGAATAGTAGATCTTGGCTTTAATACCATGTGAAATATGTGGAACGCCAAATTTCTTGACTTAGGGGCCGTTCACTAAACATTTACTTGGTAAGTGCTTAACGCGTAAATTTCCTTATCGGATGAACATGAGAAGGGCCAAGAATCTTACCGGGTAAGAGCGATGAGAAAAATGGAGAGTCTTACCGGTAAGTGAGGATGACGACTCTTACCCAGTAAATTGTTGCATTCAATAAGTTTTGATGTACTAAAATCTTACGCATCAAAATAAATTAAAGTGTTGACTTCTATTGTTAAGCGTTTACCGGGTAAGTATTTGGGTAAACGGCCTCTTAATTTCTTGTATTTATAACCTAGCCGACGTGGGACCCTAACAGTTTGTATACAATATTCCCATACATATGTATTCTCTTCAGCCAAATTTCTTGACTAAATATTTTGATGGGTATAAACAGGCAGCATTGAATACAGAAGGGGAAGTTGGATGGGAAGAAATAGCCGATTCACGTCTCGATGGGAATTTCGACGAACGAGAACTAAACGACATGGCAGCACTCGCGTACAAATGCGTAAATCGTGCACCGAGAAAACGACCATCAATGAGGGACATTGTGCAAGTATTGTCTCATATTCTAAAGACAAGGCACAACAAAAGGCATCACAAACGTTCGCCATCCGAGGTTGCTATCAGTATCAATATCAGTATCAGCCAATCAGATCGACAAAATTCAATGAATAGCGAACACTGTCGGGTGGATTCTATGGATAGCGCACCCGACTCCATTGACCTTTAAATGACCTTTTGGAATTTGTTCAACTTGTCCTCTTTCTTTGATTCGTTTGTTCTGTAATATATTCGACCATTTTACCAGATACCGAGTAACCCGAGGTTTCAGTGTGGTCCTGATTGAGGAAATTAGGGTTCAAAATTAAGTCCCCTTTCCCTTCAAATGTAACATATCTCACCTTCTTTAATTTGGTTGTGGATATAATCCCAATTTTGTGTATTAACAAGAAAAGTAGGGAACACGAGTGCAATTTCACTTATTCTACCCACTTTTTGCTATTATGGTATCATATAATTTAGGTCAACTTCCAACAATCACATGTGATTCTTGAGTAAAATCACATGTGAATATGTGATACAACACGTCTAAAAGGGTGCGGGCGACCGATCAATGTGACCAAGGCATGTAAAAAGCCCCGTGCCTGGTCAACTCTTTGTGTTTGTATCACATGTGGTTTTACTCTAGAATCACATGTGATTTGGGTCATCTACCTTCTTCTTGTTTGAACCTTCCTTTGTTATTCTATTACCATATACAACAACAATTATTGAATATGGATGAGATCAGGAGAGAACTATGAAATAATAAAGAACTGAAAAACTTATTCAAACCGTTAGATTGAGATCATCCAATAGATGATAGTAGAAAGTAGTTATAAGTTTAACCACTTTTTAGAAAAATACAAATATCCCCTAATTTTTAAATCAAAAAAATAGCGAAACAACAAAAATTGGAGCAAAACAAATTACACCTAAAAAATATCACTTTTATTATCTTTAATTTGACATCCATTTCGATATTTTTTTCATCCATTTTTTCTTGGTTCTCCGGTTCTTTTTTTCGGTATTAAAAATGCAGAATTAAACAGGTTTCTTAGCAACCGATGGCATTGAAAATGAACAGATCGAGTTCAAGAAACTTGAAAAGCAACGGACTTGTGCTTTAACTACTTGTACCTTCAGCTTATAGTGATGTACTGCTAATGTGCGTTTGGTATGCAGACCAAACGGGAATATACAAGACTGGAGGAATGAAATTAAAGTAGATTGGTGAAAGAATTTAGGAGTTGTTTATTGAACGCTTATTAGGTAAGCGCTACCAGCAAGATACATCACCCCCACTTACCTAACATTCTCGCTCATCAAAATAGATTTTTTATGGTAAGCGTCTTAAACCCAATAACTGCTCACCGAGTAAGAGTCTTTTCCGTGATTTACTATGTAAGACTCTCGGTCCTTGTTTTTGACTCTTACTGGACAAGATTTCTGGTGCTTGCCATACTTAATCACTAAGATAAGTGATATCGGTAAATGCTTACCCGGTAAATGTTTAGTGAACGTCCCTTCAGGGTTTTTAATTTGACATCATTAGCTTATAATTTACTAATCTTGTCACATTTTTCTTATTTTTGTTTCTCGGTCAAATGTTGTACAAAACATAAGACAACAAGTTGTCTTATTCTCTCCAGAGTTGTGCTTTAAAAACTTGTACATTCAGCTTAGAATGATGCACTATTATGGGGAACAAGAACCCAGTTTTATATTGGCAAAAAAACTGAAACTGAACGGGACTGGATGAAAGATTTTCTAAAATGACTTAAGGTTTTATTTTGACATGGATTGTTCAGTATTGGGTTGGGTTTTAATGAGAACGAGAGTTATAATAAGAAGGGTAAAAATTAATCTCCACCCTTGAACCAATCCTAATTCAAGAGTTTCACTAGATCAACATTAATAAGAAACATCAGATCAATTCTCTTCTAAAAATGCAATTAATGGGTTGGTTTGAGACTAAAAATGATTAAAGGGTTCAAATTCTTTTTTACACTTCTCATTTTAACTTTAATTCTCACACGATCATTCGTCGTTCAATACTTTTAAAAAGATGTATCAACTGTCTTTTTTTTAAACTATATAATATTTATATACAGCAAATGCAATAAATAAACTCACACACTCTCTTCACTTTTAATGAAATTTGAACCCCCTGATCTCATAAGAGACCAGAGACTACGATACCGCTAGACCAAAGACCTTTTAGTTATATCAGTTGTCTATCAATACACCAAAAGAAAAAAAAAAAATAGTAACCCAAACCTTATCTGAAAATGCTAGTTGGGCCTATAACAAGTGGAGGATGATCACAATCTCAAACCAAACAAAAGAAACCAAGATAGAATTTGGCTCCATATGGAGTAACATGTAGCATTGTTTGAAATGTAGGACCACTTGGGTTTGCCACTTTTCAAATTCAGAAACCCTTGTACATCCTGCATTAAAACCTGTACATTGTTTTTGTATGACCTGTGACATCATTTTTTTACACTTGAAACTTTAAAGCAAAACGATGTGAAAGTAATCTTCATAGTGTTTTTGTTGTGAAGGTTCGGCTTCACAACAAAGTGTAAAAAAATGGTCTAACGGGTCTCATGAAAACAGATTGGTCTCACGTGAACCCAACTCATGCTTTTATGGTGCATGTATTTGGCTAATCCCATAAGGTCTTGAAAACAACAATTAGAAAAATCCCATGATGTCCTAAAAGTAACAGTCACTGAAACTCTCATTGGTCTTGAGGAAACTCGAACCGACGGCCTTAGTTAACCCTATGAGGCTCTGAAGATAACAGTCACAAAATCTCATTAGGCTCTGAAGATAACAGTCAAGAAAATCCTATTAGACCCTGAAAATAACAGTCAGGAAAATCTTATTAGGCCCTGAAAATAACAATTAGGAAAATCTCATAAGGCCCTGAAAATAACAGTTAGGGAAATCCTCAATGATCTTGAGGAAATTCTAATTGGCGGCCTCGATTAATCCCATGAAGCCTGAAAAATAGTGAGAGATTTCTCACGAGACCCTGAAAATAACAGTCATAGATTTGTCACGAGGACCTAAAAATAGCAGTTAAGAAAATCCTCAATAGTCTTGAGGAAACTTGAACCGACAACCTATATGAAGGGGTCTCAGGGTCGTCTTTATCTGTCAGTTGAGTTAGGCCCAAGGTTCGAGTATGCTTCATTAAAGACTCTAGAAATCTCAACAGTCAAGATCTAAAAACCGAATAAAAAAAACAAAGCAGCCGCGATACTTGCAACTTCGGAAAAAAAAAACATGAAAGCAAGCCAGTAGACAGAGGGGTAAAATAGTTATTCAGATTTTTTATTCAGCACAACAATCAAACAACAATCCAGCTTAATCCATACATAACATAATGAAAAAACTAAACATGCCACAACCTTACCAAGATGTTCGACAAGATCCAAATTTGGTAAACACGACGAATGGAAAGTTCTAGAAAGCGCTTAACGCATTCGAAAACAGAAACCAACCACCGTCACACAAATCCCACAAAATACGTGAACTTAAAAACGCTTTTTTTATCTGCATTACATAAAGAAACATAGTTTCGTTTCTTCGAAGGAAATATCGGTGTTAACGGACAACGAACAAAAGGATCATGAATCTATCTAATGAAGCTTTTAGCAAGAAATGTACCAAAAATGGCATTCTACTATATGTGTTCTCTTTAGGGCTTGCAGATCACCACAAAGCAAGGAAGAAGAGCTTTTGGACTTAGCAAATAAAGCTCCTCGATATTCGAATAAAGTCCGACTTTTCCGGCCAATGAGTCGAACCCCGATTGACCCGCCATTTCTTGGATGTCTTCTAGCGGCCGGTGCACCCTCCCGGCTATCACTCGGCACACAATCAACGCTTTTCGTGTATCCGGGCTTTCTTCAAGAACTTCTATTGATTCAAAAGCCCGTATGCTAGTCGAAGTTGTGAAAACGCCTATTCCGCCCTTGACTTCCCTTTTCGCGGAAAACCCGTCTCGTATTATCCGGCAAACGCTACATTTATCGGATATGCAGAGACTTGAGGCGCCGTTGATGCCTAAAGAACAAGAAATCGTGGCGCCATAAAACCGTAATAGCTCGTTCCCGTCGGCACGACATCGAGGGTGTTTCTTGGGTAGTATGCCGGCTTTTGTTTTCACTAGTTCTCGATATTCTTCGAACCGAGCTAGGGTTTTTTGCATGTTGTGGACCTTCAAGACCTTCTCGATTCGACCGGAACTGGTTTCGGATTTCGACCAGCTCGAACGACAAATGATTTCGACTATCTTCCTAGAGGAATCACCCTCCATAAGTTCAGTAACTGCAATGAATTCAATAATCAAGATTAGCAATTTCATATTGTTTTAAAGAATTTCGCAACTTGCTAAAGTGCTACTTGCTAATACTTGCCACGTCATCATCTTGCAAGTACTTCTTTACGGCTTTACCTTCTTGCGAAAATTGATAATGTATGGATATTATATTCATAGAAAGTGGATTCCACAAGTTGTTAAAGTGTTACTTGCAAAATGCTGACATGACAGGTATTAGCAATTAACACATCAGTATTTTGCAGGTAGCACTTTGACAACTTACGAAATTACTACTTTATGCATATGATATTCACATAAAGTGGATTTTTTTATTAACCTAGATATCCAACCCGCTATGCAAGCGGACTAATCCCAGGGCGACCACCTGCTTTGCAGATAGCCCGGAGTCACTGCATTTGAACCTCCGTGGCCACAAGGGGATTTTTATTCCTCCTTGGATTTGAACCTGAGACCTCCTGGTACTTTTGACCTTTGGAGTTTGGAGCCACGCTCAAACCAATCAGGCACCACTTTTATGGTTAGAAAGTGGATTTTACAAGTTGCTAAAGCTCTACTTACGAAATCTTAAGCAAATAAGTCACTCTGATAAAAATGGGAATTTGATTGAAAAAATGGACTAAAAGTGAATTTGGTAAAAAAAACAGTTGTTTTGATCAATTTCTCAAAAAAATTGGGTCCATAGAAATCAAGAATTACCAGCATGTTTAGAAAGATGATGGGATTCAAGATTCTCCCAATTTCGAAACTGCTTGCCACACTTATGGCACGTGACTCCGCCGGCGGCAGACCCATTGGTTTCCGTCTCCGACGACATTCTAGGTTTTTGTACGACTGTGTTCTTCCCGCCGGCGCCGGTAATTCCTAAATGGACAGAATTTCCAATTCCATTCCCATCTCCTCTTTCCATCGATGAAATCGTCCTTCTTGGAGTAGTACTTTTGGAATACTGCATTGTTGAATTCCCACCGGAAACCGGTGCCAATAACGTCCCCACTAACGGTGACCCATCCGCGCTGCCGCCGATTCCGTCGTGAAATCCGCCGCCGAAACCGGTGATTTTAATCTCGCATTTGGAATTATTGAGAATTACTTCATGGGTGATCGGATTCGGGAATTCATTGCTCCCAATTGATCTTGGACTGCAATTCACTGGGTTTTCTGAGTGTCTTTTGCTTCCGCCATTGATGACATCTTTGAGATTTGCGATGGATCTTGAACAACCCCACCGGCTTGGTTTTCGGGTCAAAATTGCAGACAAATGGGTCTTGGGTTTCGGGTCGTGGACGTCCGCAGAATCCGATTCGCAGTGAAATGATTTCTTTAAAGAAAACCAAACTGTGGACATATCTTCTTCTTTGTGTTTCGTGATTTGTTCTTCAAAGATTTCCTTTAAACTGTTTATGGATTCATGGCTGAAAAGAGGGAAATATCGATAAAAATGGAAGCTTTTTTGGGGGTTTGAAGAATTGGAATCGGAATCGAAATCGGAATTGGAATTGTGACAAAGGTGTGTGTGTGTGTGTGTGTGTGTGTGTGGAGATGGTAAAAGATAAAAGGCATTCACGAGTCACCTGCGCATATCTAATTGGATGGACGGAATCAAATATTCTATTTTCAAAATAAATGGAATTTAGCTTCACAATTTTTTGAAAAATAAAATCAAAATTCAAATAAATCAAACATTTAAATGATGATGTTTGCAAGCATCTATTTTATGTTATAATCAGGTTAAATCATATATTAGGTATGTAAAGTTATACTGTTTACTGAACACTTATCAAGTAAGCAGTTATTGTGCGTCACTTACCTTCCAAATGATGTAATGAGCATTGAAATTTGCAAGAACCGAGAACCTCATCCGGTAATAAGTATAACAAATATCAAGAATCGTACCAGGTAAGAGGTGTGTATAGCAACTATCAAGAATCGTACCAGGTAAGAGGTATGTTTGGCAAATATCAAGAATTTTACCCGATAAGAGGTATATATGACAAATATCAAGAATCTTATCCGGTAAGTGAGAAATAAAACTTTTACCCAGTAAGCACTCCTAGGGAAAAAAACGTTTACCAATAATCTATTTTAATGACCGAAAATATTACTTAATAAGGTCAGTGATGATGATGATTTTGTTGATAAGAGTTTTTTTATCAGCCTTTAAATATAAATGTTGATGTATATAAGGAGAAAATTATTAAACAGGGGTGCATTTAGTTTATCAGTAAATCATATGTACCAATTATTTCTTATAAAATAATAAACTAAAATATTTATAAAAAATTCAAAAATAATATGTATTTTTAAGCATATAATATTTATATACAACAAATGCAACAAATAAATTCGCACACTCTTCTTATCTATGGTGAGGTTTGAACCCCTTACTTTCTAGGAGACCAAATGCTATAACATCATTAGGTCAAAGAGATTTTGATAAAATACTATATATATATATATATATATATATATATATTAATAAAATCATTAAATACAAACTTTAGAAGTCAATGTATGTTGAGAACATTTGATATAATTTAAAAAAAATTATAATTAAAATTTCTAAAATATATTAATTTCAACAATTTTTCCATTTTAAATCATGAAAATCATATTACTAAAAATATTTAATATTTCAAGAAAATTCCAATGAGTTTTATATAAAATAATAAAAATGCTGAAAACAATAAATAAAATTATTCAGCACTCTTTTTTTATAAATATATAATATATTTTATATACGACAAATACAATAAATAAATTCACATACATTTCTCACCGTTGATGTAGTATTCATCACTTTTCACAATAAATTTTTAATAGTTATTCAAATTCAGATATTTTTTTATCATCTCTCTAATATTTGTCTATTTTAAATAAAGTTTTGAACGATTCGTTTGAGCATAAAATCTCATAATCTTTTTCTTATTTTGAAGAATCTGTTAGAAATGTTTTGAGAATTTTTTTTTCCTAAAAAACATGAACGAATGTCTTAAACATTAAGGGGGGGTATTTAACTGGTTTGAGTTTTGTCTACAAAGGTCAAAAGTGTCTGAAGGTCACAAGTTCAAATCCAATAAGAAATTAAAAAAATCTCTTTGTGGTTACAAAGGTTCAAACGGATGACTTCGGGCTACCTGCAAAACAGGTGGTCGTCCTATGATTAATCGGCTTGCATAGCGGATTGGAGATCTAGATTAATAAAAAAAAAATATTAAGTGTGTTTCATGCAAATAACAGTACATTGGTTTCAAAACACGCTAATTAAATGCAATGCAGTGGTAATTTGATTCTTATTTTTTGTTCTCGTATTATAGCCAGACAATAAATCACGTAGAACTTTTTATCGATATATACCTTGAATCAAACAAGATTTAAAAATGCCGAAAATGCATAAAAACAACATTTAGACATATACAAAAAGACAAGAAACAGTTGTATGATATTTACTACTCTGTCACTAGAAAATAAATTTTAAAAAGTTACATGTTTGTTGCTAAAATATCATGTAAGTCTTTATATGTTTCTTCATATTTCGGAGAAAGAAAAGGGTAAAATAGGAATTTGGTCCTTGTGGTATGTCGAAAGTAACACTTTTCATTTTTGTAGTTTCAAAATTATGTGATGAGTGCTAAAAAAATGTTAAATGAGAGACATTTTTGTTCTTTTTTATCGGGGTTTTTTGTCTTTTACCCAATCAAAATCGGTTTTTTGATTTTGGTCCTTGTGGGTTTTTATCACAAAAAATCCCGCCCCATAACTTTAGGAGAAGGGGTGCCTCCTCGACTGGTGGTGGGGTGGGACACCAAATGACTCTGTCCTTCCATCCACTGGATAGATAGAGAGGGATGACAGAGTTTTTGGTTTATGTTGTCAAATAGTTGAACAATGGTTTTTTTTTTTCCGTGCAAAAGTATCTATAACTTTTCCACCAGGACCTACCCCCCAACTTAGAGTGGTGGTTTTTGATCGGGTAAAAAATAAAAAAAATATCGATAAAAGAATAAAAATATCATTTATTTAACGAGTTTTTTACTGGTTGTTAGAAGGAGAGACCAAATTCGAACGTTCTTACACACCACAACGCCTGTCCTGTAACATGAAACCTGTCTAAGACAAAAAAAAAATGTTATTTTTGACAAACCAGAAGGACCAAAAATTTGTAGCTCACTCAAAAAAATATTCAAAATGAAAATTTTGAATTTAAAATATAAATAATATTTAAAAGAACATTTTGTCTTCGAAATTAAATTCAAGCACTGTATTTATTTGTAGCGGTTTTGATCTCAATATAATTTTAGCTCGTGTTCATATTTTGTGGTTTTGTCTTTAACCAGTGTTTTGATAGGGTTTTTTTCCATAGATGGAAGTAGTGTATTTTTTTTTTTTTAATTGAGAGAGACAGATTTGGAAAAAAAAAATTTGTTTTATGCATAAAGCTCCCGCTCTATAAGCTTACTGAATAAGTCATTTTCTATATTATTAAGCCATTATCGAACAGTCATATATAATCAATTGAATAAGTTATGAGTCTCATTAAACTTGTTAAATTGCTAACAAATAGACACTAAGCACGTTTAGTTTTGTTTGATTTTGACGTATGAACAACGACAGATCCACATATACAGATGAAGAGTTGGCATGGAAAATTAATTATCTCGTAAAAACAAATATGGAATCATGTATCACGTATGACAACACATGGTGGTCCATCTATTTGGGGTTTTGTTGTTTTACCAAACGTTACATAATCGACCAGTTTATTTAGAAATGAGATGATTTCAGTTATATTTTTATTTTTAATACGTTAAATGTGTAAATTTTAAAGCTATAAGGGTGCATTTGATACACTGGAGAGGACAGGACAGGGAGTCATGTCCCATGTTTGGCATGACTTTTATGTGGAACAGAATGGAACAAAGTGGAACATACCTGTTCCACCCCTACCTCATGGAACAAGGTGGAACAGACTTGTATTTTACCAATATAATCTCAAAATAAAACTTAATACTCTTTTAAAACATCAAATAAGTCTATTTTTTACATTTTATTCATTCTTTAAATTTTATTTATTGTATTTTATGTTTCTTAAACTTTCATTTTACTGTCCACAAAATATTATTTTTATACGGTTTTTATATTTTTATTAATTTATGTAATTTATTATATATTAATAATAAAAAATAATGTTGAAACGAGATAAAAATAATAATTGGAAGCTACATAAATTTTTTATTTGGTGTCATTTTAATTGTTTTGACGAAAACTTCAAATGATATATTTTGTTACAAAAATTAATTATTCTATTATAATTTAATAAATTACATAAATTAATTAAAATAAACAACCCATCAGGGGTAAAATTGGTTATTTTACTTGTTCTGTTCTGTCCAGTTTTATCTTACCAAACGTTGAACAATTGTTCAATCATGTTCTGTCCTGTACTGTCATATTTTGTCTGGACACCAAGCACACCCTAATGAAACAGGCTGAAAGTCGTTCAAAAGTCAGAATGCATTAAATGTTTTATAACCCCTCATATTGTTTTTTTTAAATACTAGTTGTGTGTCCATACAAAACGACAATATGTAAAAATATCAACATTATTACTATTAACGAGATTACACACATAAAATAGCAATAAAGCAAACGTACACCACTCAAGATACCTGTAGAAATTCAAGTACTTTAAACACTACTGATTATGCCCATATAGCATACCTCGACCATTCCATATGGATATGAAGACAAGTGTCATCGTCAAATAACGTCCATTCAATTTCTTTATGGATATAGGTATGGACCCATTGAAGTAATTATCTTACAATATGTCTCATACGTGACAGAATAATGAACCTTCGACTTCTGTAAATATCTCGAGGTTCGAGTTCTTCTACAATTATTAATCAATGCAACTTCTTACATGCAAGAATTCGGTTTAATGCACAAGCATCAAGTGAATGAAAGATTTTACGATGCAATTCTATCAAGACAGTAAGAATGACTGGATAAAGTTAATATGGTTTTATGAAGATCTCCGAGATTTTCTTAAACATGAAAGGCCAGAGCCATTTTGGGTACAAGTTGTCACGGGTTCAAATCCACCCAAGTTCCATAGCTTTTGGTTCGCTATCTCGATCATGCTTTTTCCTATCCCCCTTATACACAGTGACCATAATAAACTTTGTGCCAACTGCTTATTTATGTATGGTGGTGGAAGCGAGTGAGTCGAACACCAACTGTTGGCCCTGAGAAAGAAAAGATAGCAGATTTGTTACCAATCTTTCTTTATTTTGATCTTAAAGTTGATTTTTTTTAACCACAAGGGTGGTATCTGATTGGTTTGAGTTTGACTCCAAGGGTCAAAAGTACCAGGAGGTCTCAGGTTCAAATCAAAGGAAGAATAAAAATCCCCTTGTGGCCATGGAGGTTCAAATGCAGTGACCCCGGGCTATCTGCAAAACAGGTGGTCGTCCTGGGATTAGTCGCCTCGCATAGCGGGTTGGATATCCAAGTTAATAATAAAAAAAGTTCACTTTTTTAGAAAACATTTTTTGGCACTTTAAAATTGGTTCTTAGGAATCAAGTTCAGTATTATGGTTCTCAATCCGTTATGGACCAGTCATATGAGCATATAAATGCAAGAAAACTTTAGGGTTCGACTCCTTGATCCCGTAATCTATGTATAGAATCAAAATCCCCGTTTATAGAGATAAAATCCTAGACAGAAGAAACAGAATGAGCCAAAAAGTTGTGCTCATTTTTCATTAACCGTTATGTTTATTGAATCTTGAATGACATCAAATACTGAATACAGTGAATTTTGAACGCTAATGAATCTAGAAAAGCTCAATAACGATAAATTGCCACCCACATAAAGATACATCGTTGAATCTTCATGAAACTATGTACTGTTCTTTTGGGCTTCTAGATTTCCTTGTTTACATGGATGCTTCAATCTAATAGCTTCGAAGTATGTATCATTTTGTTCTTCGTTTGTTGGCCACTGAGAAATAAACTGACTGATGAGTTTGATGTTGTGATTGTGAGAAATGGTGCAACCATTACATCAGGAAACGCTGCTTTATATCAACTGTCAAGCCACGACAAAAAAAATGAACCCGGTAAAAGAAATCGACAACATTTAAATTTCAAAACAAATGTGGAGAGAGATTGCCGATCTCCAACAACATAAAAACAGCAAAATTCATAACGATCACAACTTTCAAATACCAGACTCGTAAACCAGACAATGTATTTATGTCTGTGATATTGGGTTATGAGTTACAAACGAAAGAAGGTACCTTATGAGGATGAGGAGACGCACGAGATGTAGTTGCAATTATTGTTATCGAATAAGAATTCGTGTTTAAGACTAAAACCCTAAGGGTCTGTTTGGCTCATGCTGAGGAATGAAAATGAAAATGACAGTGAATGGAAATGAGAATGAATTTTCATTCCCCACAGTTTAACTAGGAATGAAATTTTGCCTTCTGTGGAAATGAGCCAATTATATTATAAAAAACCAAACAATTTCTTTTATTTTTATTCACATTGATTACTGTTTAATACATCTAACCAAACACCCCTTAAATTCTTTATAATATTATTTAAATATTGATAAATTTTACACTCATATTTAGGGGTGTAAATGATGAAAGTCGAGTTCAAGTATCATTATACTCAACTCGAATTCGATAATCATTCCTCAAGCTCGAATTCGACTCGAGAACTCGAGAGTAGTTAAAAACTAAACTAAACTCGAACTCGATTGCAATTTTTTAAACTCAAACTTGAGCTCGAACTCGAACCAAGCTCGAAGTCGAACTCGAATCAAACTCACCAGTCAAAATTTATAAAATTTTAGGGTCTTTTCTTATAAATTATAAAACTTAAAAAATATTCTCTTAAATTTCAAAAAACTAAAGTGATCCACCTCAAACTTCATCATCAAATAGACAAAGTTACAAATTCATTCACCTTCCACTCTTTTTATAACCTTTTCATCCTTCTTTTACCATCTCTCTTCCAATGTGGGAAAAATTCACCAACACTTCTATAGTTTTTTTTATACCTTTTTTAATTATAATTTAAAAAAAATATTAATTAGTTTTTATAGTTAAAAATGCACAATATTATTCAAGTATCTAAAAATACAAGACATTTTTATTACATTATATTATACATATTATACTATAAAAAACTGATTACATTTTCAAAACTAACTATAGATAAAAAAAATCCAGTATCTCACGAGCTTTTCGAGCCGAGTATTAGGTAGCTCAACTCGACTCGTTAATATATCGAGTCGAGTTCGAGTTTCAGCCGAGCCTATCCGAATCGAGTAATGACCGAGTCAATCTCGGATAGCTCACGAGTTGTCTAGTACCGTTTACACCCTTACTCATATTTCATGCATTAACAATTTTTAAAAATAAAAAACCAAATGGTTTCATATTTTGTTTTCTAGGACCACATTACCGACACCTTAGGTTTCTTCAATTTGTCTCACGTTGGAATTTGTGTGTTTATTTATGAACTAAAATAAAGGATTTTATTAATGACTGATAATATCAGACAAAGTTTAAATCAACTGAAATAAAAAAACCCTACACATGTAGTAGGCCAGGCAAGGAAATATTAATGGACTGGATCAACAATAGTAGAAGGGCTCGAGAGAATTTTACACTTATAATGGACTGAAGATGCTTCACTCTATCGGAAAAAAAACTCAGGAGCCAAGGCCCTGACCTTGCAAATATATGGTTGATACTGTTCAAGTTTCTGATAACAGTTGGGATTTTAATATAAAAAACCCCTACAATATTGTATGATGTCTCGTAACTCTATATTATCTTCATCCCACTTTGCTTGACTGCATGCGTGACCAACTGACAACCATATTCAAGAATCACGTTTTCAAAGCCTACGGATTTGACCCACGAGATAGCCTCGAGAAAAATCAAAGTTATGCGGTTTGTCTTGCTTCCATCTTCCCGGGACTCCTGTTGAATCATGTTCCATGTTGTAACATCTCCTTTCGTTCAATCCATAAACATAACCACAAACTTTATTTTCCATGGCCCGACTCGTGTTTCCATTACCTTGAAAAACCAGTCCTCGAACGATATAGCATCAACTTCAGTATTATTAGCCAAAAGTTGACAACCCAACTTGCCACAAACAATTTTGGGCAACACCGTAGCCTGAGGCATACTTACAAATTTTTCTAGACGATGACACAATTTAACTGTAAAAACAAAAATGCTGAAATATTCCACAATATTTCTATAATTTGGTTGGTTGATTTGCTGTCCATACACAAAAAAGGCCCATGTCCGAGTCCGAGTCCGAGCTATGATTTTTTTTCTAAAACATATTAAAACCACAATTTAAACTAAAAAACTAAGAAATTTGATATTATTTTTGAATGAAATATAAATATGAAGATATCATAAAGAATTGGAAAAAAAATATTAATATTAGTACCAAACTAACTATTTAAATTTTCTCCATTTTTTGCATAGTTTTTTTAATTCATTTTTTTTATAAAGATAATAATAAAGTATTTTGTTAGAATTTCAATAACTATCCTAATTATATTTTAGATTTTTTATATTTAAAATGAAATGTTTATCTTCTATTTAATTATGTTTATCTATGATTAATTACATGAGTTCAAACATGAAGCTTTAATAAATTGTACTTACACACAATTTACTTGTAATTTTAAATTCTAAAGAATATGCATCAATAAACAATACTTCATACATACAAAAATAGTTTTTAAGAGTTTTTATCAAATACTTTATAATACAGTATAGATAATTTTCTTCCTCACAGTCACAACAGTTTTATAACTCGTGCCATGTATAGTTTTCTTCGTGGATGGATGAACACGAACTCCAAACAATGCCTTTCTAACATTTAAACTATGTTTTTTTGGGCCGAACCTTGTATCCGGATAATGGGCCTAGCAATCCAATTATCGGCCCAAATATCAAATGGGTATTATTGGAATAAAAATTAAAGTACAAATTTTATTTATTGGAAATAAAATTTAAAATAGAGTAAACTACAAATTTGGTCCTTATGATTTGTCAAAAATTACATTTTTGTCTCTATAATTTTGAAATTATAAGATGACCATTGAAACTTGTAAAAAACGTCAAAATTTGGTACATTTTTTAATGAGCGCTAAAAGATTCTGTTAAATGGAGGACATTTTTGTCATTTTTATATGTTTTTTTAGTCTTTTACCCAATAAAATTTCGTTGGGACCAAAATTGTAAGATTTATTTTTTTAGTCTTTTACATCATAAAAACCATAAAGTTAGATGACTTGGAATCATGTGAGACCATTTTTTTACATTTGAAACTTTCACTGTGAAGATAACATTCATGGTGTTTTTGTTGTAAAGTTTCAATTTTTTTTACATTCATTATGTTTTACTGTGAAGTTACAAGTGTAAAAAAGTGGTATCACGTGAACCCAACCTGAGTTAGATACAAAGGTCAATCCATAGCAAAATTAAAATCGTGATAATCACACCTGTAATTATTTTATTTGGAAAATCCAATCCATCATTTGCATATAATCACATAGACGAAATCTGTAATTACTTTAAATTATGTAAAAAATAAATAAACAAACACCAAGTAGTATTTTAATAAGGTAAATTTATTTTATTTGTACAATAATCTATATTATATTATAAAATATTTGACAAAAACTCTTAAAAATCATTTTTATGCATGAAATATTGTTTATTGATGCACATTCTTTAGAATTTAAGATTAAAAGTAATTTTTATAAGTACATCTTATTAAAGTTCTATTTTTAAATTCGTGTAACTTTTGGCTGATAAATATAATTAAATACAGAATAAACATCCATTTTAAATTACCTTTTTTTTTAAAACCACATTAAAATCAAGATTTATCTCGATACATTGCATGAGTATCCTTTTAGTTATTAAATATTGATTTAAATGAAAATTTATTGATGATAAATATAGTCTTAAATATTTAATACGTAATTATTTAAATATCTTCGAAGAGAGGATACACATCAATAGCATCAAAAGGACACAAGTAGACACGCCAATTTCAGCCCCAGATCTGCCCCAGATCTCATTTGATCCAACGGTTATTATGGTCAATCCGTGTACTTTAATCTTATTGGTCTATATCGAAATGACCAAACGGGTAATATAAATACAAACCAAAACCAAAGTATTTACAGATCGACATTTCTCTGATTCTCCCCTCAATCGCCTCCACCGTTTGCTCGTTTTCCAGTTACTTTTCTTCACCGGAAAACAATGGCCGGACGAGGCAAAACCCTAGGATCTGGTGCGGCAAAGAAGGCCACTTCAAGAAGTAGCAAAGCCGGTCTTCAATTTCCCGTCGGTCGTATTGCTCGTTTCTTGAAAGCCGGAAAGTATGCCGAACGTGTCGGTGCCGGAGCTCCGGTCTACCTCGCTGCCGTCCTCGAATACCTCGCCGCGGAAGTAAGTTTCTTCGATTAAATCCTTTTCCGTGATTGTGTTTCTGTCTGTCTGTCTGTTTAAAATTTCTAGGGTTTCGTTGAATTTAGGGTTTTTTTTTTCTGATTGTGAAATTTACTCATCTACAGGTCCTTGAGTTGGCTGGAAATGCAGCAAGAGATAACAAGAAGACTAGAATCGTGCCAAGACATATCCAATTAGCGGTGAGGAACGATGAGGAACTAAGCAAGCTTCTAGGTGATGTCACAATTGCTAATGGCGGTGTTATGCCGAACATCCACAACCTTTTGCTTCCAAAGAAGACCGCTGGTTCATCTAAGCCATCTGCCGATGATGAATAGATAGATAGAGAGAGTAATGGAAGACAATTGATTGCCATTTGCATCGAGATCTGGTTTGATTTAAGTCGTTTAACTTTGGAAATTAGGTTTTATGATCTTCATTTTGGGGAATCGAATCTGTATTGGTTTTCAATTAGCTATTATGTCTATATCTGTTAAATTTAGTTATAAACTTATGGTTTCGTGATTATGAAAAAGGTTTCGTTACTTCAATCCTCCGCCATTGTTCGTTTCAATTTCTCTTGGTGTCTGAAAGCAGAATTCATGTTTAATTTTGCTTGATCGAATTATGTTCCCTAATTCATCCTTAATTGCAGATCTGAGGCTCCTTTTTGCTGGATTTAATGCTTAATTTGGTACGAATTAGATAACATGTTCCTTTTCCTGCTCATCTTCTTCATGTTCTTATGATTGTAGATATGTTTGATGAAGAAAAGATCTTGAATCCTCAGTAAAAGTGTCTTTAGACCATCTCCAATCATGGCAACCAAAAAAAATCAAATTGGTGATTTCAGTGACACCAGAAACTGATCAATCTCTACTGAAATTTGGATATGAACATGGCATACATGTTTCTCTCCGTCTATGGCAAAATGTGGTTTCCTTTTGCTTGGTGAATGGTGTTTTTCCATACCGGCAAAATGGTGCTTTTGTGTTGAGTTTGGAGATGGCTTTAGTCACCCTAATGAGTGATATATTAGTTTCTTAGTGTGACTTGTATCGCATGCTAAAATATTGTTTTTGCGGGGTTTTAAACTCCAAATATAACTCTATCTTCGATGCGGTCTGTTTGTTAGGGAGACTACCGTTGACCGACCTTATAGAGTTTCATTGATCACTTGCATGAGTCTGAATTGATTAATTTATGAGGTTGTTTGTTTATCTCTTAATAGTTTCATTAAGTGATACTTTTTAAATCGTTAAAGAGGTGAATCTTGTTTTGTAAAAAATTAGTACGTCTCTTAATGGTTATAAAACGATTTGAATGATTTTGTATTTTTTAACCATTCAGCATTTTAGGGGCTGTTTGGCAGTTGCTGAATGGTTTGGTGCAGAATAGTTAAATGGTCAGAATGGTTGAGAGTCAAGATGGTTAAGTGCTGAATGAAACAAGGTTGTTTGGTAACTGTTCTTTAAATGATAACAAATTACCATTTTAACCCTTTGTATGATTTAGTACCAAATGAAATATAGTTGTTTGACATATATCTAAATAAAATAATTACTTTACAAATATAACTACGTATTTCATATTAATCCAAACAAACATAACGATATTAGTTCAAAACAAGATTTTTCATATTAATCCAAACCAATATGACATTATTTTTTTCATAAGCAATTACCAACTATATTTGTCCTGTATGTCTTTCAATTGTTTTTGTGGGTTTTCATATCTCTACAGAATTCAATTTGAAATGGGGTTTTTTTCAAACAAACTCCAAAGGACCGTCGTTACTCTCACCATGGTGTATTCTGTCACTTTTTCTTCTTATTTATTATTATCATTGTGTTCCATTTCATCTCTCCTAATTCCATTCCATGGCCTCCATTTGTTGTTGGTGGCTTCCTGTGTGTCTCTCAATGGAATTTTGAAGTGCTCCAACTCTCGAGGATCGACATCAAGTTTCAATTTATCAGGTAAATTTGGGAGAGAAATAAGGGGCTGTCAAAAACAAGGGGCTGTCAAAAATAGAGAGATCCTGGTGAAGCTACTGTAAAAAACAGGGGCTGTCAAAAACAGCCGACCGACTGTTAAAGAAATGTAGGTCAAAACAGAAGATACCTGATGCGAGCGGCGATGGAGACGATGGAGGTCACCGGCGACAACCGGCCGACCTGGGGAAGGGGACGAAGGCGACGGGTTCAAGAGATCCAGAGATGGTGAAGACGATGATGGTCAAAATAGAGAGATTCTGGTGAAGGCGATGAAGGCGACGGAAAATGGAAAGGAACGGTAGAGAGAGTAGAGTACATAGGGGATGTTTGTCGGCCGGTTGTCGCCGGTGACGGAAAATGGAAACGAACAGGGGAGTGGGAAGGAGCAGTGGGTAGAGAGAGTATAGAGGACAAAGTTGGAAAAATACAAATATGAATGGTTTAGTGGAACCTTAGATGCAAAATGGTTAAGAAGGGGTAATATAACCATTAAGAGCCATTTTTTTTTTTGCCAAACAACCTTGACCTCTTACTTATTAAGAGGTTGGCTCTTAATGTCACCATTAAGAGCCAAACAAACAGCCCCTTAATTTCATTGTAAATAATATTTGTTGTTGATAATTATATTTCATTTTGTATTATATTATGAGAGTCTATTAATCATTTTGACCACTTAATCATTCTGCATCAAACCATTCAACAATTGTTAGACAAATGAACAAAAAAATGTTCATGTTTGTTCATTTATTAAATAAACGAACATAAACGAATTTCCCGCCGAACGGTTTGCTGAACGTTTAGTTCGTTTATAGCCCTAAGTGGGTGGTGAGGTTCCATATAGCGTGAGATGTGACCATAAGGCCAAGTATCAAGCCTTAGAAGTCACGACCAAGTCACATCATTTTTTAATGCGTAACTTATGGCGGCAAATCTCTATATTATATAATAATATTATATACATAAATATATGTTTTCTATTAGTCAATGAATTAATGATAATAAACAATTTAAATTAAGTTATATATATATATATATATATATATTAAAAATTAACAAATAAGACATTAAAAAGATATGTAAAATCAAATATAGTATTACAAAAACCGCTCATTACACCACGACGTGCCTCAGACGTAACATTTGTGTGAGACAAGAATCTTAAGCCACAACGCACCATGACGAGTGTTGCAACGAGCCTTTCGAACAGGGGTCCAAAGTCCAATCCACAACCTTCCGCTTATTTGGTAGAATTCTCACGTCTTTAACTCGTAGGTAGATTGCAGATGGTGTCTGGAATCTTCTTCGAGACCTCCACGTCTTTTTTCTTTTTTGATTAACCTGGATATCCAGCCCGTTATTCGAGCTGACTAATCCCAGGACGACCATGTGATTTGCAGATAGCCCGAAGTCACCGCATTTGAACCTCTGTGGCTACAAGGGGATTTTTATTCCTCCTTAGATTTGAACCTGGGACCTCCTGGTACTTTTGACCTTTGAAGCTAAGCTCAAACCAATCAGGCACCACGCTTGTGGTTGAGACCTCCACGTCTTTACTTGTTAGGTTAAAAACATCTCTAATAGTCATACTATTTAGAATTTCGAAGATTTGCTCACAAATAGTACAATATGATTACAATTGGTTGGTACAAAATATAGGGGAAAAACATGGTACAAATAGTACACAATGATTTTTTTTTTATCAATTACAGTTAGCTGGTACATAATATAAGGAAAAAAACATGGTATCGTACCATATTCAACCCTGATGATCAGGTCCAATCTCCGTTTGTTGCATATTATGTTCCAAATTCTACTCTTGGAAGTTGAATAAATGCGATCATTGGGGTTTATCGACTCGTATGAACTCGAACCGTCGTGAATGAGCCACAAAGGTCTATGTTCAAAATTCGGTGTTCTTCCCTGTGGCCTAATCGTCATCTTCACTAGAATTAGGGGTAGGTTCGAACCAAATTCATGAATTATTCATGATGAATAATGGAATACACAATATTCATGAATAATTTTGGGTTATTCATTATGAATAATTCATTAAATAGTTGGTTCTCAGGTTGTCAAAGCATTTACGGTACTCGTTTAAACCTGTCCCACTAGAGTTTTGCATCCGTTTCAGTTTTATGGCAGGAAGTATCGATTGACGTCTGATCAGAAAAATCGGCGTTCCGTAAGCTGATTCTGATCGCCTTTTTTCTGACTCTGATCATCGGTTTTTGCAGAAGACGGGTCTTCTTTCTTTTTTGGCGGCTTTATAGGAGCGGCTTGAAGCTCTTTACACACCTTCTCTAAAATGATCAAGAAATCCCGTACAACAGAAAACAATCGTAACCCTTCATCCTTCCCGGCGTTTCCGTGAAAGTAATCGGCCGTGCTTTTCACAAGCGCCATTATTCGCTTTTCTTCCTCAAGCATCCACGTGATTTCCTTTTCGGCGGTCTCAACAAAGCTCGATAAAATGAGCCAAAACTCATCAACTTCCCCATCTTCTGATTGTTCCTCCAGGTTCTTCATATCTGTATTCAACGATTCACGGGCTTTCATGAGGGCGTAACCGAGTTTCGAAACCGAACTCGTCAACCCGTCAGCATCGATAATGGCTGCTTCCTTCACATTCTCGAGTTCGCTACTCAATCCCGACACCACCTCGAGCCCAAGTTTGCAATAATGCTCATCGGCTTCTTCGGGAGGCGGTTCGAGAAGAAGATCTTCGGTTTTAATGCTAGAAACACTTTTACCTTCTTTTGCAGCACGGACCGCTCTTAAACCTTCCGACCGCATGATCTCCTGTACCACAAAATGCAAAAGAGTCGTTTTTCCATCGACTCCTTTGACATCTGATAACTTCAAGAGGGTGTCGAGTTTGAAAGCTGTTGCACTGCCACGGAAAGTTCCAACGTTCATGCGATTTCCGGTTTTCAAAACCGCTTCCAAGAGTTTGAGGAACAACCGGCTTTTTTTAAGTTCTATACAAGCGGCCTGTGGAAATACCGTAAAATCAGCCAACAAAAATAACCACCCTTTTATCAGAAGCTGTTACTTTTAGTACGCACGCCAGTGCATGACGAGACAAAACAGTCAAAACTTGTTCCCCATGTCTGGGCTAACATTAGACTAGGACATGACAAGACTAGGACATGACAAGACAAGAACTGTGTAAAGACAAATATGCATTTCTTAATGGGAAATTGACCAAAACAGTCAATCTCTCCAACCAACTTCACTTTTTAGCCACCTTTTCAACTGAATTCCCATTTTAGCCAAAGTTTATACAAATGCCTTTGAGTAAACTCGATTTTCAGATTAAAAAAGAAAAAAGATTTCTTTTGAGTGAAGATTCAGATTTTTGCGTTAGAATTCAAATTTTTTCGTGAGAATTTAACTTTTTGTGTAAGAATCCTTGTGCTTATGCATAAGGATTCAAATTTTTGCATAAGAATCCTTATGCGTATGCCTAAGGATTTTTTCTTCTTCTTTTTCAATCTTTACGCACATGCGTAAAGACTGTCTAATTTTGGAAGAAGCTCTAAAAATGGCTAAAAAGTGAATTTGGTTGATGGGATTGGACATTTCAATCAATTTTCCCTTTTTTCTGCAAAGAATAGGTGGACCAAATTTTTTGGAAGATGGGGCAATATTGGTTAATTACTAAATTACCCATGTTAAATTAAATCTTTAACATGGTGTCTTTGGTATGCAGACAAGATTGGACTAGCAAGAGTGAGGTATGCTCGTGAAAAAATTCTAGAAGGTTTTAATCTAACATGAAAAGTTAAATTTTTTTTATCTATCTTGTCACCTCTAAAAAACTGCATTTTTGTCTCGCTCAGTCTTGTCTTGTCACACCCTAGTCTAATTGTAAACGCCAAACGTGAGACAAGTTTTTATTCCGTCATATGTTGTGTACCAAATGCACCCTTAGATGCAGAAAATCAAAGTTTAACGAACCTCTAAAGTTTGGAACGATTCTTTGATCGTTGCTTCCTCATCCTGAAGCGTGCACATGAATAGCAACGATTCAAGCCTTTTAAACGCATACGGTATTTCAACCAAAACTTTTAGAAATCGTTCTGCAGGTCCAAGCCGATTAAGATCCCCAGCATATAGCCGCAACCTCAGTTCTTCTTCACTCGTCGGTGCCATTTTTAGCAAAGTTTGAACGATTTCTATCGGAAGCTCGTTTCCTGATTCAACTCAAAAAAACACCACCTTCAAATGCTTTCTAAACTCACAAAGATTATAGCTTTATCCAACAATATGGAATCAATTATTTGGGTAGATGACAGGTCTGCGTATTATCGTATATCCACCCCGTCACCTACTTTTGCATGGTATATACTGGGTTAAATGTTCACAATGAAAAAGACATACGGTTCTAGATTTGTTTAGTTATAACACCTTTTAGTTAGTTAAATGACAATTTTACTCTTAATAATAGAGGGAGCTAGGCTCGGCTCAAATACACCCCAAATTTTGAGCCTACTTGACCTTGCTCCTACCTAGTGAGCATCTCCAACAGATTCTCTATAATTTCTTAAAATGGAGAAAATAAAAGTTAAAATCTCAAAAAAAGAAAATTATATTCAACTCTATTAGTTTCTCATGTTGGCGATATCAACATTAATTATATTATTAAAATATTCATTAGATTTAATATCCCAACAAATATTCCAATAAACTTCCAATAAAATGATAATAAATTCAACTTGATTGGTGGACACCATGAAAAACATTTATCTCTCTTGAGCATTTAATTTTCAAGAGTTCTCCAAACTTGGAGATTTTTATATTCTCTCTCCTTCTCCATTTTGGAGAATCTATTGGACCAAGAACACGGATAAAAATCTGTTGTCCCAAAATGACACATGTCATCCCTATCCAAGCAATGAAATTAAGACACATTAGATTTTCAAATATTTAGATTTATTTTGTTCAAGTGCACATTCGTTCTATTATGATGTGTATTTCATATGACTGGTGGACATGAAAGGGACTTGAAAAGTCCCAAAAATCTTCATTTTCTCCATTTTTGAGAATCTATTAAAGATGCTCTAATTTCTTTCAAGCTCCATTTATTATTCTGTACGATCAAAAGCAATGTAAAAATACTGAATCAAACGCACCCAATACATCCCAATCGAAAGCAGCTAACTGGGAAAGACAATGCTAGATTGTTTAAAAGGGTAAGAGTTACCTTCTTTAAGTGCAGCAGAAACTTCTTCGGTTGTCACATTTAGTGCTTTTAGAAGAATAGACAGATTTTGAGCCTTCTTTGGATCAATAATTTGAATGAAATGCATCGCTGGTTCTTTCCCAGGAGAGTTCTTCATGTCCAGATCTTTGTTCTTTTCTGGCGCTTGATAACCGAATAAACTTTCAATCATTTCTTCATTGAACCTATCGGTAAGAAACTAGTTATGTTCGGAAAGCTTATATAGATATCAAAGCAACAAACTAAAGGGTCATTGGCTCAACCATACTCGAGTTAACGGTAGAGCGCAACCTGCCAGAGGTCAAGGGTTCAAACTTCACCAAAGTGAAGGATGTGGGTGAGTATCCGCTATATACAAATAATAGAGTAAACTACAAATTCGGTCCTTGTGTTTTGTCAAAAGTAACACTTTTTTGTCCTTGCAGTTTTAAAATTTTAAGATGGCCATCGTGGTTCGGAAAAATGTCCGGATTTGGTCCTCCCTCTAATGGGCGTTTAAAATTTCCATTAAGTGAGGGGTATTTTTGTCTCTTTATCGTTTTTTTTTGTCATTTACCCAATCAAAAACCTTAGGGACTAAATCATAAAATCGATTTTAATTGGTTAAAAGACAAAAAAAAATCGATAAAAGGATGAAAATGCCTCTCCTTAATTTTTTAACGGTCGTTAAAAAGAGGGATCAAATCCGGACATTTTTCCAAACCACGATGGCCATCTTGTAATTTCGAAACTGCAGGAACAAAAAGTGTTATTTTCAACAAACCACAGGAACCAAATTTGTAGTTTACTCTAAATATTATATACTCACCCTTAGGCGTGTAGTTCAATTGACAGAGGAGTGGAGCGACTTTGCTCAAATACACAACCCTGTTCAAGTTCGAACCTGCAGGAGACGGACTTTAACCCCTCTGCCAACCTCAACCGTAGAGTCAGCTCTGAAACGCCTCCTCACATGTGGTTCCTAGAGGTCGGGTTCTGTGTGGGGTTGATCGGGATTGCCATAGTCAACCTTTTTGCTAATATATATAGGGGTGGTTTCAAATACAAACCATGTAATTCTTACAAACCATTATATTAGGAAACAATTGAGATATTTATGAACAATTATCATGATTCATTACTTATGATTGAGATATATATGAAAGATGATAAGTTCATTCATTATGATCATAGCTTTGGAATAAGAAACAAAATAAAATTATATATTTATTAGACTAGATGGACGGCTAAGATTAGCTTGTAAAGTTTGTTAGAATTGCATGGTTTGTAAATGACACGTCCCCTACATATATATAGATGTGGGATTAGGAGAGAGGGAGAAAGAGAGAGAGGGAGGTTCAGAGCAAACCCTTACCCCCCCCCTCCCCCAAAAAAAATGAATTATTGAGGAACACCCTCGTAAACCATTCATTTGGACGGTATGTACATGTGCATACAAGTAATTGAAATTGTTTCTTGGTTTTTATGCACGTGTGCATGTTATGTGTATGTGCATAAACAAATTGCTTACAAATTACTTGTATACACATGTGCATATCGTCCAGACGAACAATTACCAGGGTGTTCCGCAGTTTTTTTTTTTGCGGTTTTCCCCTGAACCTGGCCCTATATGTAATATACCAATATATACTTGACGAAAGCAACAAGAGAAAAATTTTACTGAAATGATCCTGATTTAATCTGATGCCAGACCATTTGTTGATCAGGTTTAGCCATAACCTTATCCCAGAAGAATGGCTTCAGCTTAGCTTTAGAAACATCAGCTTGCTGATCAGTACGGCGAGGAGGTTTAACGCCCCCACTTAATAGTCGAGCTGCAACTATACCGCCACCACCACGTAGTAGAGGAGGTGGTGGGGGTGCGCCCGCTTTTCCTCCCGGTAGGGGTGGTGGAGGAGGTTCTCCTCCCATAGGTGGCGGTGGAGGAGGTGCTCCTCCATTAGGTGGCGGTGGAGGTGCACCTTTAATAGATAGTGATGGAGGCGGAGGAGGTGGTGGCCCAGCAGGAGGTCCAGATGGGGTCGACTGTACAGGAGGGGGCGGAGTGGCTGCCGGAGGGAGTGGAACAGTGGGTGGAGGGGCTGGAGCAGCAGCCGGAGGAGGAGACGCAGGAGAGGCTCCAGTGGTAGGTGGTTCTGTCCCTTTAGAAGAAGGCTGTAGGGGTGATTCTGTGTTTCCTGCAGAAGCCTGTTGAGTCGACTCGGTCTTTCCAGCAGAAGGCCGTAGAACAAATTCTGTTTTTGCGGTTGGTCGCAAAGACGATTCTGCCCTCATGGCTCGAGGCTTCAAAGTGTGTCGCAAAGACGATTGTACCCTTCCGGATGGAGGGTGCATAGAAGGATCCAAAGATGATGGATCCGATCCCGGGGCACCTGGATCAACCGAGACTCTAGCATCCATAGACAAATCATTTTTCTGTCCATTTGATTGATTGTCCGGATTCCCGTCTTTGTCCTTGGCTTTCTCTTGTGACGGTTTCTTTGAAGCACCTGAAAGATTAATCCCGACTGCATTTCAGAAAAACGAACATGGAAACAAATTCCAATTGATGAGTAGTACAAGACACCAACAAATTCCGCTTTATAGGACACCAAATATGTCTAAATGTCTTAATAGACTGCTTATAAAACCAAACACTTGAGCTTCCTATGTAAAGGCGTTACAATAGGATTATAGGACATATTTTTACATCCAAGTTTTATAGGACACTTCTAAAGTAAAGTGTCTTGTTAGCTTTTTTATAGGACATTTGATAAATGTCCTATGACTATATCTTTTTATAGGGCACTTTTTCAGATAATGTCATATAAAAAAACTAACATGACGCTTCATTTTAGAAGTGTCCTGAAAAACTTGTTAGGAAGCCCAAAAGCATTTCTATCAATTTATTGCAACTCCTTTACATATGTCACACAATCATTTGGTCTTATAACGAAGTCATGTGGGGTGCATTTGATACTAGCGACCATGACGAGACAGAACAGAACAGAACAAAAACTTCTTGTTTCATGTTTGGCGTGATAATTAGGCTGGAACTAACAAGATTGAGCAGGATAAAAATGCAGTTTGTTTGTTCCATGGTGGAACAAAAATCAGGAAGACGAGACAAGATTGGTAAAACACTAAAACCACCTATGTCAAATTAAAAGTTTAAAACCTTTCAAAATTCTTTCACCTGCCAACCTGATTCTCGCTAGTCCAGTCCAGTCCAATCTGCATACCAAACGCATCCACAAAGCAAACTAATTTAGATATATTTGATGTCTTGTAAAGTCAGTTTTCTTGTAGTACCACTAGTTGAAAGTCTCACCCATGCTTAAACTAAGAAGAGGCTTCTCATCATTTTGAATGCCAGCGAGACCATAATTCCTAATATAACAATAGAACGCAAACCCAGCAAGACAAAGTGTCACGATTGCAGTAATGATTACAGCAACAATAACCGTTCCCTGGCTAACGGTTGCTTCGGCCAACCTGCGTCTTCCGGGACCATCATTCGGCTTGCGCAAAAACGACACTAAATACTCTATGTACCCTTTTCTAGTAAGTTTTTCTTTTCTCGATTTAGATAAAACTATATGTTTATCTCTTAGGCAATCGAGTATTGTTTTCTTAACGTGGGGATCTTCGCCATTTATCGCTTTCAATATTCTCTCTTTTCCTAAAAGAGGTTTTTCGCTGCCACAATACTGAAGATCTTGAAAAGCTTCCAACGAATAAATCAATTCGGCTCCGCAGTTCACCCATAATAATTCCGCCTGCGGCCACCCAACTTTATCAGAACCTAACAAACACAGCATATCCCACTCGAAAGTAAGGCATGGGAGGGGTAGAACGTATCAGCGGCAAACCCACTCTAATATCATACAGTAGCACGGGCCACTGATGTAAAAATTATAGGGTCGTGAAAAGTGTCACTGTATCATTTTGTTGTGTGCAACCGTATATATTTTGAAACTACAATGGCGACAAAAATTTCCTTTAGTAGAGTTGGTTTGCATGACCTTTCTCTTACCCTAGGTGTGGGTTTGAATCTTGTTTGGATCACTTTCTTAGTTTTTAACTTCTAATTTCAAATTTATTATGTTTCCAAAATTTTGTGCAATAAAAGACTCAAATATAGGACCTGACATACAAAAAGCAAGGAACTAACAACTGAACAATGATGATTTTTAGAAATATATCCATATCTTGGTTTCTTAAAGTTAAATGGTGCCACCAATTGAAAAAATTCTTAGGTTCGCCTCCAGGATGTATGCAGGCCTTACCTCAACCACTAGGATAGAGAGGTTGTTCTGTGAAGACCTTCGGCTTGTGTACGAAGCAAAGGTGTGTGCAAACAGTCAACAAGATAGGTAATATAACAGGTAAGCAGGAAATATAACACATAGAATAAGAATTCAACAAACGTAAAGAGCCTAACAAGGTAACAAAGCATACTAACACCAAGAAAACTCCCTATCTCTAAACACAAGAAACCACCAACCTATCTTAGGACTACCACCCCCCCAACCCCCGAAAAAAAACCCACCCTCTATCCTTCCATCCCTCCCCCAAGAGTATTTCTACCTACAAACGACTACTGTAATATGCCATCTCCAAGTACTCTTACCTAAGATCATGTCCTCTGAAAGAACTAAAACCTCCATATCCAGCCTCAACTGCTCAAGATACATTGCAGTTAGGGGTTGTTTGGTTGATTTTCCATTAAGTTCTGTATGGATAAAGTTGTCTGTGTAGATTAATCTGTCTGTATAGATTGAGAAGGTTTTTACTTGGGAGGGGTTTTTCATAGATGGAAGGAGTGTATTTTTTTAATTGGGAGAGATAGGTTTGGGGAAAAAAAACTTGGCTTTCTGCATAAAGCTCCCCATAGAAGCTTATTGAATAAGTTGCTTTCTATATCATTAAGTCATTACCAAACAGTCATGAATAGCTGACCGAATAAGCTACAAGCCTCATTAAGAAGCTGTTTACCAAATTTTTTATTAAGTCATGTATGGATAAATTTGTCTGTCCGAATAAATATGTCTGTCTGGATAAATGGGTGTTATTGTTTACTTTTTTTATCTGAACCAACAGTCTAAATAACATAAATGATCGATTTACCCCCCCAATATTAATTATTTGAACATCAAAACAAAAAATCATAAAGAGGTTGACGATGGGGTGTCTCATTTGGGAAGGAGGCGATGCTTTAAATAAGGGGCAGGGGTGTCATTTATGTGGCTGAATGGGGACAACACACCATTTCTATCTGTGCGATTAAGCCACGTTCAGTGCGAATAAGCCGTAAGTAAACAACCCAAATGAGTTGTGTGAATAAGCCAGATAGACCAATAAGCCTAATTAAGCCGCAAGTAAACAGCCCCTAAGCTAATTAAGCTGCTAACAAACAGGCCCTTAGACCTTAGCATCAGCTAGTAGTGATTACAGGATGATCTAACCAATCCCATGAAGAATGATGGCTTATTTTAAATATTTTGGTGCCATTTTAGTGTATTCCATTTGGTAAACAAGAAATGCTATACCATTTGGCATAAAAATAAGCTAAATGCAGCAATTTAACCAATTCTAAAGTGGTATATTTCAATAAACCTTCATTCAAGTCTTTTCACAAACACCTGGAGGGCACTTGGTGGGTGCTTGTTCAAGAACCTTTTTCTCGTGCATTATTGCTTGTTTGATATCCCACAAATGAAAGCAAAATTATATAGATATAGAGATAGATACAATTAGGCAAGTCTTTCATAAGAAAACATAATTCACAACATTTCGTTTCATCATCTGGAACATATATCAAGCTCAAAGTATAAGCGAAAATGGCATAGTACCTTCTCCTCATCTATGGTCTCCTCCAAATCCATTCGATTGTCAAGAGGAAGCTGTTGGCGATCTCTATCTAAATTTACTGCCTCTGTCAAAGGGTAAAGTAAAATAATAATTGCGATCAATAAAATCACCCCCTTGGCGCCCATTTTTTCTAGAAACATCAATCCGGATCATTTCATCAAACGATAAAAACCCAAATGGAAGAACATGACCCCAGAAAGCATTGATCATCGCCACCGTAGCTCAGGTTTTCTTCAAGAATTCAAATAATGTCGTTGGCCAATAATCGAGAATTAGGACAAACAATCCTCTCCCAGCTGAAACAAAAAACCCAGAAATCTTCGACCACAGGATAACCTCAAGTTGTCTAATTAAACATCAAAACAACTCGAAATTAACCAGATTCTCGAAGAGATGATTATAATACAGAAGCAATAAGATTGATTACAGTCAGGCCGTCGAAGATAACAGAGAAATTCGCTTTGATTCGTTAAATAAGCTTCAAATCATCCCCTTTTTTTCAATAAACCCAGAAAGGGGACGCATTAGCAGAGCGGGCCCGACTAATTCAAATACAAATCATGGTCCATTTGGGATGTAAAACACGGCGGAGGTTCCACGGCGGTCGTAGTTACGGCGACGGTTGATGGGGAACAGCATAAATTAATGGTAGGAATCCAACCGGACATGCAGTTGTTTATTGTTCAAATATGTGAACTTTTGGAATGAAAATTGATCTTCACGAACGTATGACGTATCCTCGTGTTCATTTTATTAAAGTGATAATTTCAGAAACAAATAGGAATGGATTATGGATTTGGTCCCTATAGTTTTGGGTTTTTTGTGAAATTGGTCCCTGAACTTTATGTATTATAGACTAAAGTGGTGTTTGTTTTTTTTAAAGCTCTTATTTTACCATTTATGTCTTATTCGATCAAACATAAGGTAATTTAGACCGTTTATTTTTCTTCTTCTTTCAGAGCAACTTATCCCTGATTTTCCTCTTAAAAATTAAGTGATAACCTAGCCACTTATTTTCCTTTTAATCTTAAAGGCAACCCAGATAACCGATTTCTACTTCATCATTCGATTGACTTCACCCTCTCAATCGATCGACTTCACCCTCCATCGATTGCCTTCATCCTCCATCGCCTCTGCTGGTTTCAAATCGACCCAAATCAGATCCAAATCAAGAGGGTTTTCTTCCCTGTGGGTTTTCGCCATCGTGTGTTCTCGTTCATGTGTTAACCAGTAGTTTTGCATCTTTATCCTCGTGAATCAAGGCATTTTTCGCCCCTGTAGTTTTCATCATGATGGAGATTTGCTTCGATTTTAGAGGTGGATTTGGGCGTTGGATTTTAGAGAAGGAGTGGTGGTGGATGGTGGTGGGATGAGGGTGGAGATTGAGGATGAAAAGTTTGATCTGGAGGAGAATGAAGAATTAAAGGAATCTTGGGAACATAAACATAAGTGAAATCAGAAATTATACATATTCAGATGTTTTGTTGGTCACAAAAGCAAGCTATTGATTCAGATTTCAGACTTCAGACGTTTGTCAGTTTAAAAAAACAAACAGTCTGACTGATTCAGATTTCAGACTTCAACACCACCTAAAAATTAGAAGTGAAATCAGACTTCAGACTTCAACACCTCTTAAAAAACAAACGCCACCTAAAGGGTTGTTTTGCTTAACGGGTGTGTATAACAAGGACCGAGAATCTTTACCCAGTAAAAAGCATGACAATAACTGAGGCTTTTACTCGGTAACTGACGGAGAGACTCCTACCGTGTTAGCACTTCCCGATTAAGAGGCTTACAAAAAAATCTATTTTAATGATCGATAATGTTATCCAATAAGGTAAGTGAAAATATCACTCTTGCTGGTAAGCATTTGGTAAACGACCCCCAAGACACGTCATTTGCAGTTTTTGTTGGATTTTGTCCCTCTTTCTGACGAACTAGTTCATAGTCCAGTAAGAATTATAGATAATTCACCCCATTTTTATTGGTTGAGTTAGGTTGTCGATTTACTAACTCATCATGTTAATTTATTAATTTACAAAAAATTGCAAACGAGTCTTAGTTTATAGCAAGGTTCAAAATGGCGTGAGCCAGTGACAGATCCAGAAAATTAATGGGATGGGAGCACGTGGGATGAGACTTAAGTGAGGCAAGCATATGGTCATATGAGACTGAGAGAAAACCATGTAAGAAGAGGATAAAAATAGAAATTTTAAGCTAATCAACAAATGTTTTTGGTCTTTGACTGGGGGCCTTTCCCCCAGTTCTTAAGTGCTAGACCCCCCTGGCTTGAGGTGTGGTGTGGCGGCGAGGTCAAACCTCAAGCCTTAGGAGCCATGACGAGGTCGCGGCGTTTTTTAAGACATGCCTTATGGCGGCAAATCTGTATATAATGTACATTATTATACATATAAACATGTATTTTCTACTATTACTCACTGAGTCAATGATATTAAATAATTTAAATTAAGTAATACATTAGAAACTAATATATAACACATTTAAAAAGTAAGAAAAATCAAATATTACATTATAAAAACCGTACATTAGGTTATGTGTGCCACATGCATAACGTGGCGTGAGATACAAGCCTTAAGACATGACGCACCACGACGGTTGTTACGACGAGCTTGTTCGAACATTGGTTTTTAGTAAATAAAGTTTAGAGACCAATTATATAATAACCCCTCAAAAAATAATCCATCCATGTCTTTGTTAATTTGAAGGTCTGATAAATAAACCCTCCAAATTATATACTGGTATAATTTGATTAGTTCTGTTTTACTTTTTTTATAGAGCAAATTGCATGAAACAGTAACGTACTTTAACTTGATTTATATTTTGTGTAACATACTTTCAAAACTTCAAATTTGGTACTTAAGAAGTTTTAAACAATTAAGTACTCGTGTAACCGGTTGAATCATTAACCGATTAAATATTGAAGCATTGATCGATTAGATTAAGATATCCATGTCAACAAATAATATTGAGTTTGATACCACATCACGCGTCACATCAGCATGGTAACCGGTTAATTTTTCAATCGATTACCCGAGTACTTAAATGTTTAAAGTTTTACATCTTAGGTACGAAAATGAAAGTTTTAAAAGTACGTTACTCAAAATAGGAATCAAGTTAAAGTATCTTATTTTTTATACAATTTGCCATTTTTTATAATAAAAATAATGTTATAATATATTTTAGTTTTAATGATGTAGTAGTTTGTGCATAAAAAATAATGTTTGAATATCCTGTCATATTAATAGGATTCAAATTATCTTGTATTTGAATGTGTTTAACATCTGATTATTGTTTACTGTTATTGGATTTACAAAATTCAAAAAAATTGTAAGAATTCAATAATTATCCGTATAATTTAAATTTAAGACATTATGCTTTATAAAGCAATATATTGTGATTAATAAGTTGTATTTAAATATATTTTTTTTACCTACAATCTTTATGATATAATATAAATATTTATTTAATAATCAAATATTTAAAAAAAAATATCGATTTTATTAATATTTTTGTAATAATAACTTGATTCTTATTTTGAGTAACGTATTTTCAAAACTTTTATTTTGGTACATAAGATGTAAATTTTTAAACATTTAAGTATCCGGGTAACCGGTTGAAGCATTAAGCGGTTATCATGCTGATGTGGTATCCAACTCCGTATTATTTGCTGAAGTGGTTAATGACATTATTTTTTTTAATCTAAAATTAGTTTTTTAATCTAAAATTAGTCTTCAACGGGTTACCCATGTACTTAAATGTTTAAAATTTTACATCTTAGGTACCAAAATGGAAGTTTTGAAAGTATGTTACCCAAAATAAGAATCAAGTTAATGTACGTTAATTTTTCATGCAATTTACCCTTTCAAAAAATATACAATTGCACCCAATAGAAAACAATACAGTGGCACCTTTCATGAACGTTAATTTCCTTTATAATATGACGGAGGAACGAAATGGTGGCCAGTGATACTGTATCCACCATAGTAGGCCTGCCCCTAAGCTGAATCGCGTCTCAACTGCACCTAATATAACCACCCTAACCAATGCACATTATTTTTGTGTTATCCAGTCAGCTGGAATAGCAAGTTGTTCAAACTCGAACTTAAGAAAAAAAATATCATACTCGAGTTTGAAAAATTCCAGTGTTTGAGCTCGATGCTCGTTTAACAAATTTGAACTACACATTATACCAATCAAACATCGGTTTTATAGAATTTTAACTAGTTGTAAGGACTGTTTACCAAAAGATAGAAGACAAAGACCGAAAGTCTGACCCGATAAATGATGGCGATGACTCTTACTACGGTTAGCACTTACCGGGTTAATTGTTGTATACGATACCCTTTTGGTGAACTAAAATCTTACTCAGTAAATAATTGATAGTGTTGAATTTTGTCGGTAAATACTTGTCCAGGTAAGCGTTGGTAAACGACCCCTTAATATGTGTGTGGGGTAGAATATATATAGACAAATAGACATATTTTATTTACTTAATACATTAAATAATGCATGGAAGTAAAGTAGTTCGAACATGGGGATGTGGCTCAGATGGTAGAGCGCTCGCTTAGCATGCGAGAGGTACGGGGATCGATACCCCGCATCTCCATTTTTTCAATTTATATACAATAGAGTGTAAACTACATTTTTGGTCCCTGTAGTTTGTTAAAACTTACGACTTTTGTCCCTGTTGTTTTCAAAATTATGGTTTTAGTCCCTGTGTTCTCGAAATCGTTGTTGGTTTATCCCTATGATTTGTGAATCACTATTGTTTTGATCCCTATGATTTCTAAATCATCATTTTTTTCGTCTCTGAAGCTAACTTCGCTTACAGTTAAGTAGGGGGTGTTGATCCAAACTGCACAAACGACGGTTTAAAACTTTTGCGGTGCTGTTTGCGGTTTGCATTTTTATCAAATCGCATTATTTGGTGCGGTTTGCGGTTTTGAGTTATCAAACCGCAGATTAAAGCGCACCGCACCACATATTTTATACATTTTTTTTTAATTTTATGTAACACACAGACACACACATAATTTATTTATTTAATATTTTTAAATTATGTGTTTTGAACTTTGAGTTTGATCCAACATGACAATTGACAACACTAATAAGTTAGTTGGATACGACACAGTCAAAATTAATTTGAAGTTTATAATTTTCTGCTTCTTAGGGGTTGTTTACTAAACGCTTATCTGGTAGGTGCTTATCGGACAATTTTCCTCACCGAGCGAACATGACAAGACCCAAGAATCTTACCTGGTAAGAGCAATGATAATGATAGAGAAAGTTTTCCCCTGTAAGTGAGACTCACAACTCTTACCCGGTTAAGCGCTTACCAGATATATGATTGCATACAATACCATTTTGATATACTACAATTTTAACCAAAAAATAAATTATAGTGTTGGCTTCTAACGGTAAGCACTTACCAGGTAAACATTTAGGTAAACAGCCCCTTGGACTATTTTTTATTTATGCAATATGTATTTGAGAATTAGATGTATTGAAACTCTTTATCTTTTTGGACTACGGTCACTTTTTCTTTAATCTTATAATGTATTTTTTAACCTATAATTGGATTGTAGGTATATAGTGCGATAGCTATAAACTGCAGTGCGGTTTGGTTGTGAGTTGAGGTTTATACGGTGCGGTTTGTGGCTTAGGAAAAAACTCAAACCACATATGCACGCACCGCAAACACCCCTATCGTTAAGTATGATGGATAAAAACAACAATAAATTACTCCCAACTGTCAGAAAACTAGCGTTCAATTTCAAAAGTAAATTCTCATTTTTCACATTTTACCCTTAATTATGAGATAACGAAAATTTCTTTCTCTATTATCAAGGATAAAAGTGTCATTTAGTTATTTAAAAAATGTAATAATTACAAATTTTAAAATTATATGTCATTTTCATTGTGAACACTTCTTAGGACGAAGGGAGTATAAACTTAAGGACAAAGCTTAATTTTTGAAATACAGAGATGGTATGAAAAACACAGTTTACTTAGGGGCCATTTTATCAAGCATTTATTACCGGTAAAATTTAACACTATTATGTAGTTACCAAATACCAAGTAAGATTTTAGTCCACCAAAACGACATAGTATACGACAATTTACCCGGTAAGCGCTTACCATGGTAAGAGTCGTCGCCCTCACTTACCGGGTAAGACTCTTGATATTTGTCTCGCTCTTATTGGATAAGATTCTTGGTCCTAACTATATTTATCCGGTGAGGTAATGTTATTTGGTAAGCGCTTATTCGGGTAAGCGTTTGGTAAACGGCCCCTTAATTAAAAACTGTTCTTTTTCTGTCTTATGGTTTATGCATTTTGCAGAAACTTGAACTTCTGTTGTTTGTTCTTTTTGGTTATGTTGTCTTTCAAACAAAACTTTCTCATCGATGTCTAAAAAAGAAACAGATGTTATTTCTCCAAATTAATTAATGATAGACAAAAGATCGTGGGATTATAGGAGTTAAAAAGGTGAAAAGTGTAACAAGAGATTTGTACCCTTGATCACGTTTAATCTCACATACATCTTATGACTTACTTTTGATATGGTAATTGATCTGATGCATCTCATACTCTCGGTGCATTTCATTATTGTTGATCTTCAATTATGATTGATCTAAGTGTGAAGATCTCTTCTTACCCTTCTCACTATAACTTCCATTCCCATCAGAATCCAACCCTTAATAATAATTGATGTATTTATATAGGTGGATTTTTTACAACTTTTAATTATAAATAAATTATCTAATTCACCGTTTCGATAACCAATATATAATATTCAAATGATATTACTATATGGGTTGGATTCCGATGAGAAAAAAAGTTCAAATGAGAAGCGTAAAAATAAATCTTCACCCTTAGATGCATGATGAGATGCACCGGATCAATTCCCGTATCAAATGCGATTCATGGGTGTATCTTAGATTAAATGTGACCAAGGGTTCAGATCCCTTCGTATGTTTCTCACTTTAACTCTCCTTCTGACACGATGATTTACCACCAATGTATTTGTCATTTACTTACACAAGAAAATAACTATTGAATTTATATGGTTTTCTATTGGTATTTTTGATTTTTTTTTCTATTCTCATAAATCACATTAATTATTAGCGTTTGTTTTCTTACTTAATGTTTAAGCAACAACTGATAGGAGTGCACAAAAACCCGACCAAATCGATCTCGTAATAACCGAACCCAGACCAACCCGGAACGACTCGATACTTAAATGAGTTGTAAAATTTTCAACCGTATGTATTAAGTTAGAATTGGGTCAGGGTCATTTGAACCCAACCCAAACCGATTAACCCGATGCCTTTCTGTGCTATGAATCAATATGATTGTTAAGTCGTTGATTAATATATGTATATTAGACATTAGACTAACTCATAATTAGCTCCGTTCAAAATTATATGACAATTTCAACCGTAATTTATTTTCTTACGTGCATGGACTTTCAACTTTCCTTTTTGAGTCTGTTAATCGTATTCGTATGTTCTCATTTTGATTTTACTTCGTTTAAACAAAATCGCTTAACGAGATTATTAATTTACGTACCAAAGTTTCTACTCGATCAACCTGAACGACTTAGATTGGGTGTTGAGATATTTCACACTGTAAACAGTGAGTTGAGTTGTTCAAATGCCTTCAACCCGACTAACCCAATCCGTATGCAACCTTAATAGTTGGAAATGATTGAAATAAATAAGGCACAATGTATAAGTGTATCGTATATTTGTTGCATGTATTAAGTTATGTCGTTTTTTAAGTATATAACGTATTTTTATACACGACAAATGCAACAAATAAACCCACACATCATCTTCACCATTGGTGAGGTTTGAACCTTTGACCTTCTAGGAGACAAGAGGCTCAGACACCGCTAGGCCAAAGGCTGTTTGGTAAGTTATGTCTTATCTCAAGAAATTCGGTATGGAATAAAACGTTAACAAGAAAACGTAAATTGATCGAAGATAATTCACAATCATGTCATGTACATTCTCGTGGCATCATAAGATTTATGCCATTTTAGTCATAACTTCTTCAAGAATGACCGTTGTGTTCGAATACAGTAATTCTGTTTGAGGAAGGTCTTGGTTCTTGACTGCAACTTCTAACTGTCAAAAAATCGTCACCCGTGTATCAGTTAAAAAGAAAATATGTTTTGACTTTTGAGGCCTCACGAGCTGATAATTCAAAATTAGAATTTCTATAGTGGAACCAGATATTAGAATTGGTTACCTTTTCGACACTATCGAACAATCTATTTGCAAGATCGAGGAGCGGTGGCTTGTCATCAGGTGTGGCTGCGGAGATCACTTTATCGAAGTCAAAGTACATGAACGTTGACTTCAGTCGGAGATACTTCCGAACATAATTCCATGCATCTTTCCCTATCAAATCCCCTAATGCCAACAAATCGAAAGCGTATTTCTTTAGCCGGAATGCCCTTCCTTTAGTCCCGATATCAGCTATGTACACGCCCGTTTTCAGAAAAGACCGTGTACCCGTCTCCACATTATCGATCACTATAACAAATAAACAGCTTGTATCAGGCAGAAACAATACAATTTAAGTTTATAAAGTCAAATTCTTAATATTTCAGATCCAATTTTATAAGCTTTACTTGTTCTCAGTTAATGTGACAGTTTCAAATATTCCTATGTAATATAACATATTTTCTACTTTTTACCCAGTTTGACAAACAACCTGCTAATCTTGTAAAATTTGATGATGTGGATGTCAGATTTATTGTCTACATCACAGTAACACTTTCTTAAAGATTTTGTGAACTTTTTGTAAACAGGTATCCACATCATCAAATGTAACAAGATCATTGAGGTTGTCTGTCAAAATGGGTACTCCTTGCGTCCCAAAATCTATGTCCAAAATGATAAAAAGACATATAATTTTAAAAATATATAATTATTATATTTATTTAACTAACTAACAGTTTTACCTTTAATAATAATAAAAAAATATCTGTTGATCAATGGTAGAGTTGAAAAGTAGATACTGAATTTTTAAAGTGGATACTTACATCAGTATAAATTAAAATAGAAATATGGATACTTATTTTTAGAAGGATACTGTAAAAAATAGAAAATTTTGAAAGTTTATTACGTTAATTGAGAAAAAAAACTTGTTCGTTACATTAAATAGAAACCAAACCACATTTTGATGTATTTTGCCTTCTTTAGAACAATGGTGAAACTAACGAGAGAAGGATACGGGAGTTTTACTGTTTGATGCCCGGGGTATCGGAATGGGTCCGGTGAGCCAGAAACCGTTGTCTTCGGCGAGAGAAACCGCAACGTTAGAATTTGCAAAAAGTCCGATCGACCCAAGGCCTAACGCTAGTCTTCTTGTCGGTTTTAATGGTTGATTTTGACTTTCCTCTACCTTGTTTCCGGCCAAACGTGGCGGAGCTGCATCTGACCGGAGTTTCCCTTCGCCGGAAAGTTTTGGGATGGCCGGAAAAGTGGTGAAAATTTGGTTCAGATTTGCCGTCGGAGCCATGGTTGTAATGGGTGATGAGTTGATAAGAGTATTATTATGGGTTGGAGTTCTCCCGAATGGAAGATTGATGGCCACCAGATGAACATCCAAAACTAAGGGCATTTCGGTAATTTACTCACTCGAATCAACCATTTGGACCCTTTTAACGAAATTTATTGGGCTTATATATGGCCCATTTTATATGTATCACTGATCCAATCCAATAGTGGCACTATATAATTAGAGATGCCAAAATCCGGTTCGGGCCGGTCCTTAACCGGTCTCTACTGGTTCTAATCAAGACAAAAACTAGCGGTAACTGGTTTCGGCTCCGGTGAAATACGTTGTAACCGGTCAAACTTACCCGTAACCGGTTAAGCAATCCGGTCCTGGTTTCGGTCCCATAACCGGTCAAGGCCGGTCCCATTCAAATAAAATAATTTTTTTTTTCAAATTTTTTGTTATTAATAAATTATTAATATGTTTGTAATATGTTATTTTTAATATGTTTTATTATAAATACGTTTAAAAATACGTCTTGTTATATATATACGTTTAATTTTATAAATACGTTTTGTTATATATCTATACTATCTTATAAAGCATTTGGCTAAAACTCTTAAACCCGTTCATCCTTATCCGATTTCATCTCATATCTGAATTCGTGTAACTAACTGCAGATAAACACAATCAAATAGATGATAAATATCTCATTTTAAATATAAAAAATCTAAAATATAATTAGGATAATCATTGAGTTCTAACAGAATACGTAATTATTATCTTTATAAAATGTTATATTATTAAACCAAAAATAAATTATTTCATTATTAAACTTAAATTAAATTATAATAAAAAATAAATTAAAGAAATTACATAAAAAATGAAAACTTTTAAATAGTTGATTTGACATAAACATTGATATATATTTT